TATATATTTCCTTTTTGACAGCTGTTTGACCTTTTATGCTGAGTGTATCCAATCAGAAGTGATACCTTCATTGACAAAAAACTCAGCCAGCAGCGACGACAACTGAACGGCGTGAGCGGAGTGAGGAAAGTTGAGCCCCATGTCCCACTGGAAACGATTCCCCTCTGGGTGCCACTGCACTCCATAGAAGGGATACTTTTTACCTGAGAGGACAGAGGAAACACAACACGGTGCTATCACAGCTCTGCTCCAGAGCAACGGCTCACTCTCAGGTTCAACGTGCAGATTACCTTCCATGGTGGAGACAAAGCGAGCTCCATTTTCAGCAACATTCGTGGACAGCAGAGTGAAGAAACTGCTCAGCTTCTCGCTTTCCTCAAAAGTCTGTAAAACAGTTTTCATAAAAATAAAAAAATACAATACATATCATGAGCATTTTTTTTTTACTTTAGATCTCCGTCTCCTACACACTTTCCGTGTGCTACTGAGCATAATTTACAACAATGCTTTGTTTCTTCTGTATAGATTGAGATTTTTAAATGTTGTTTTGACCAATTCGATCTATAAATGCACAAATAAATGTTAGCGAACTGTGGGACTTATTGTTGAAATAGGTTTCCAGTGGGCAGCACGGTGGCGCAACTGGTAGAGCTGCTGCCTCTCAGCGAACAGGTCCCTGGTTCAAACCCCAGTCCAGGGGCCTTCTGGGTGGAGTTTGCATGTTCTCTCCGTGCATGCGTGGGTTTTCTCCGGGTACTCCGGTTTCCTCCCACAGACCAAAAACATGCATGTTAGGCTGATTGGTAACTCTAAATTGTCCCTAGGTGTGAGTGAGAGAGTGAATGGTTGTTTGTCTCGTTTGTCTCTATGTGTCCCTGTGATGGACTTGCGACCCGTCCAGGGTGTACCCCGCCCCTCGCACAGTGATTGCTGGACATGGGCACCAGCGACCCCCGTGACCCAAAATGGAATAAGCGGGTAAAGATAATGGATGGATGATATATATATATTTTTTTTATTTTCATGATTGACAGAATTTTTAGTCTCATAATAACTGAGGGGTACCTTTACTGTGAGTCCATATTTGTGAAAATTTCCTGTCAGAGGTTCTTCTACCAAAGCCTGTAGGAGTTCTTTAGGAAAGCCTTGAAACATTTTGCTGGAGAGGGTCTCTGCAGGAACAAGAGGGATGCAGGTTGATTTATATGACGATAAATATTTTCATGTTAGTCATGAACAGCTGAAAATGCAGACAGGCTTTTGTCAGCAGCAACTTCTCCTGTCTGGTGTCAAAATAAAAGCGTCTGCTCTGCAGCTCGTCTCTGTAGCTCGTCTCTGCTGACCCCGAGTGTTGACTTTGAATTAATGCAATGTCCCAGAACGTGTAGCTGAACTTTTAATTTACTTTGCACCTATTTTAAAATATATATTCTCAGTGTGTAAATCAGCTTTAAAGACACAAATAATCCTGCTCAAAGACGCTTTTACCGGCTGTAAAGTTGAGAGGCAGGGCGATGTTCTCAGCTGGGGTGTATGAAAGTAGGTTTTCACCTGCAACCAGCACAGTGAGGAGCTGCATGCCCATACACGTGCCCCAGATGGGGAAGAAATCTCCAGCATCATTGGCCTGAAACAGATACAGCCAGAGAATTCACTTCTCTGTGCACAAAACAATCAAACAACAACAACAACAACAACAACACATTGTGAATGAACAATGACTGAGCCTAAAGAAAGCATTTAGGGCTCCACATTCCAGAAATGTGAACATATTGTTTATCCCGTCAAAATGATCCATCAAGCTGCAAAAAGATCCAAACAAAGATGCACGAGACAACTGAAAACCAAAAATGACAATAAAGAAAAAAAACCTTTATAAAGAATTTTTAAAAAATAAATTTGATAATTTTAATAAATTTGATCAGTTCTAGAATTGCGCCGCTTGGGGTGGCTGCATGTTGGAGCAGCTCTGTCACATTCATTATGAGTTATTGCTTTTGAAAATTTTAATTCCTATTTTTTTCTGGATGTAAATCACTTTTCTGGATGATTGTTTACTCTGGTATCAGATGCTGCGCAGCTGGGAGGATTTTTACTGAAATCGTTTTACTTTGGGGCATTTGTTATGATGTGTAACCACGGCAACAATGTGTTTTTTTTTTTACAACAAGGAGCAGCTGATTATCATCTCAAAAGCCCAAATATCTCAACTACAGCTCCACATCCCAAATGAGTTGAAAAGGAGGCACCGTGGACGAATTCCTGTCAACCTGGCAGCGGTGCTCGAGTACCTGACCACTGAGATCCAGGAGCTGGTGGGAAACTTGGCTCATGACTATGGGAGGACCGGGATCGTCCCCCGGCACCTTCAGTTGTCTGTCTGTGGCGACTAGGAGCTCGGCAGACTGCTGGGAGGAGTGACCATCGCTCAGGAAATAATTCTGCCCAGCTGCCCAGGAGGACGGAGAGGCCCACCAGATCTGACAGCAAGCTGGATCTAGGTGGACGGATCTGTGGCCAGATTTTTCGGATTCGCTGCAGGAGATCCTTCCTGCCCACAGCTATCAGCATCTAGCAACTCTTGAATGAAACCAGGATGATGAGCTACAACAACACTTAATTTCCCTCTGGGATTAATAAAGTATTTTTGAATTGAATTGAATTGAATAAACTACACAAAGAGAGAAAAAAACCACAAGAAGAAACGTGAAACAACATAATTAACATAACAGCTATAAAGAGGTTTAAAATGATCACAGAATGGCTACCAAAGATGCAGAATGATCAGAATGAGACGAAAACCGGTTAACTGGACATCATTAACTTCACAGACTCTCTCACTGGTACATTTTCATTTTTAAATCACTTCTTGTTCTGCTGCCTTCATACATCTCCTCCTGCATGTCTCTGCGTGAGTGCAGCTACAGCGTGCGCCCTCAGGACATTATTACCTGCAGTGTTCCCTCAGTGAGGACTGAACTTGGCAAAAGGGCCTTCTCCTACTCCGCTCCTGTTTCCTGGAATATCTTGCAAAAAGATCCGAAGCTCTCGACCTTGACCTCTCTAAGTGGCTTCAAGCATCTGGTTCCTGACAAGACCCAACGCAGACATGTTCCTGTTTTTAGTTTTCTACACCGTCTTATAATCTAGCTGCTTTTAGTTTAGTTTTTTTAATACCGTTTTCTTTCACTTGTTCTTTTCAATTTGTATGCATCCTTTTGCAATTGTCTATCGTTGTCTTTGTTTTCTACTGTTGTCATCACTCTTTGTTAAAGTCAGGTCTCTTGTAAATGAGTCCCCGAAGCTCAATGGGACTAACCTGTATAGATAAAGGTTGAAAAACAACTGATGCAAGACACAAAACAACAACAGCTGGATGCAAACTGAACTTAGAGCGGCACAAAAATGAGCTGATCGTTCACACAGATCTGTGCAGTTCCAAACCTTTACCTGGAAGCACAAAAACCCCATCCATGCTTCGTTTCTGAATAATGATCAGATGCTAAGTTTTCCCAGAGAGGAAACCTGCTGCAGAGCTTCTAGTTTTAAATTGTGCATCTTTTGTGCTTGTAAGTCAAAGTTTAATGACAAATAAAACCTAAAATGCACTGAATAACATCAACAGATTGACTGATTTGACTCGTACTAAACAGGACAACCAGTGACTTGAAGGTTGATTTAAGCTCAGGAGGGCGACATAATAAATTAAATGTTGGATACAAACCTCCAGTGCAAGTCTGTAAAAGATCTTTGCCACCCTGGCGTAGTCTGAAGTCACCAAATTTGCAGCTCCACCAATAAAAAACAGGCTGAACAAACACAGAGCAGATTTTTATTTTTACTCATTAAAGGCGTCGTTTTTCTGAAAGTTTAGTTTTAAACAGCTGCACTCACCCATTTATCTTCCTAAAGATGTTTTCATACTCAGCAGTAGAAAGCGTCAGCCTGTCAGAGAAAACGATGATCGATTGTTCATTAGTTACATTTTTAATAAAAGCTCACAAGGAGAGAAGTTACTCACATAACAATCATTAAATAATTCAACAGGAATCAGATGTTTGATCAATTTATTGTATGATCAGGGTTTAAAGCCTCGCTGAAGGACAGAATGATGTGCCACATGAAGCACAACTGTCAAATATTCTCACTTAACAGTTATTAGGAAAAAATATTTTTTACTAATAGTGACAACGTTTTGGCTTTGAAGCATCTCCATTGAATATTTTACTTGTCCTGAACTTTCTTCCGCAGCTTTGAAGTAAATGTTCACCAAAACGTGCAGCTCGATCTGGAATAGTGTGCTACGTCTGGTAGCCTTGAAAATTTTGTTACAAACTTGTGGAAGAAAAAGAAAAAGCATGGAGATCAATGGGATTTTGATAAGAAAACTCAGCCCTCTTCAGAGCTGTGCATGTCATGCATTGTTCACAAAAATAAATAAATAAATAAATAAAACATAATTCATGGTTTATACAGGTCAGAGAAAGTTGGACTTTACTTGTTTGAAGTAGCATTTCGATATATTTTATGGCTTTTACGCAATTGCAGTTTAAGTTTTGTGATTTTTACAAATATTTTCACAAAATGTTCAGCTGGTTGTTGATGATGTCACACCAATCCATGAGCTGAGTAAAATCTTCTAATCTTTTGCAAACAATCTCTTCTTACTTCAAAAACTCTTTATCGTACATGTACAAATTACTGTATCGGACACATTAAAATGTACATTTTGTCTTCTTTTACCCAGTAAGTCTCCCACAACTGTAGGATCTACACCATCATCAAACTGGTTGGCCCACTATGCGAGTGTGCTACTTATGAGACTGAGTTTGTTGCGGCTCCTCGGACTGACGAAGTCTTTTGGATGAAAGACGGAATGTTTCAACAAAAAGAAACCGTCCACTGTCCAGAGGACCGGACTTAACTTTGTCGAGCATGAACTTTTATATAGGATCTACAGTTTTCTTTCAAATCCCCACAGACTGCAGAGACTGCACACCCAAGCGTCCACAGATTCAGCTATATTTAACTCAAAATACTCTTCTCAAAACTGGAAGTGAAATGACTTTGGAATTTGTTAGATCTTCCAGCACATGTTCAACCATCATAGCCTGATGCCACTCACAGTTCAAGGGTTTCTTCAATTCGTCTTACAGTTTTCACACAGTGACTGTTTATTTGAGCCTTATTTTCAATCAACCATTACATTAACTTGGCAGTCAGGGAGTAACAGACAATGGTTTGTGGTTACCATGGAGACCTTAATGACCCACAGGCAGCAGATTTTACTTTTAATTTGGTCTTGGTTTCTTTTCACACTTCCCATACGTCAAACTATAGATATTTTTCCTTGGATTATTACAGCTATGTTGGGATTAACGGCATCTTTTTAAGTTTTTTCAAAGATTTTCTAGTTATGTTTTCAAATTTTGCCTCAGCTCACCTGATCGGCATCACCCTGCTCCCCCCAGACTCTATGTAGTTCACGTAGGAGTCGGGTATGTACGTCCTCCCAAACGGCTTCATGACGTCATCAGAAACTAATTGAGTCAAAACACCTGGGCGACAAAAACAGAGCAAAGGAAGGAAAAAAAGTCAGCAGCAACACAACATGTAATTTCTTTAGATTTGCCTTCTGAGAAGCCAGATATCATTTTAGTATTTTAAAGTCATCTTGATCAGCACAACAAAGTTAAGTCAGGTCCTCTGGATGGTTTCTTTATTGTTGAAACGTTTCATCTTTCATCCTTAAGTTCATCAGTGCAAGGAGCCACAACAAACTCAGTCCCATAAGCAGCACAATCACACAGTGGACCAACCAGTTTGATGGTGATAAGATGGTTTCTGGAGTCCGCCCTCTCCCCCATCGACTCGTCTGAGGCAGCCATGGCCAAAGTGGTTCAAAAATATCAAAGCTTTCAGTCATCAAAAAAAAAAAAAAAAAACATCCAGAAGACCTGATTTAACTTTGTTGGATTTTTTACCTGGATTATTGATCATGAACTTTGATGTTTTGAACCACTTTGGCTCAACGGGGGAGAAGGTTGACTCCAGTGTGCTACTTATGGGACTGAGTTTGTTGTGGCTCCTCGGACTGAAGAAGTCTTAAGGTTGAAAGTCGAAACGTTTCAACAATAAAGAACCCATCCACAGAACCTGACTTAACTTTGTTGGATTTTCTTAAACCTGGATTATTGAGCATTAACTTTGATATCGTGATCAACCTTTTGCCTGTCTGATTTTATCGGTTGTTTTGCCTTTTTAACTTGCTTTCAAATGTAGTATGAGCTTAAATTACTGAAACAGGTGAAGTAGAGGACAAAAGAAGTGTTACATCTTAGGTGAAAAGTTTAGATTTAAAAAATACCAAGTGAAATTCTTACCAATCACAGGTCTGTCGTTCAGGGGCTCCTGGCTGGGGTGTAGAGGTATGGCTTTGTAGCTACAAATGTAGCCGACAAAAACCAAACACAGACGCGTTAAAAATCCCATGCTGGACATATTGTCAGTCACTCTTCAGTCAATCAGTCCCATATGGCTGTAAGATGTGTCCTTTTCTGATCATAACCACTGCAGCTTAAATATGCTGTTAGAGGAAGATATAGCCGGTACAGGGAAGTAAGGAATGCCCAGATTTGCACGTGATCTTTGTTTTCCTGCACATGCCGGTTAGACGAGTCGGCTGCTGAGGTTTACACAAAATATTCTGCTGAGAGGAGAGCAAGGACTTTTTGGTAAAATTTTGAGTGTTTTCTGTGTGGGGAAGCTATGCAACACCGTGTTTCTCAGATGGGTTTTGCAATAAAGGCTTTCATTAACTTTTTTTTTTTAGCTGCAGGTTCACACAACTCTCTGAGATTTAAAGTGTCTGACAGTTTTCTGTGGGAAAATGAAAGCTGTGGTTCTGGAGAAGGAAGCTTGTGGCTGAGGTGCACGCAGACTTTTTCCATTTCACCTGACTACCTTTACGAGCCCCATGTTGTTTCCTGTGCAGCTGCATAAACGCGGTTCAAAATCTGCATAGTCATTGGAAATCATCACGTGTGCTTTCAGAAGTTTGTTCCTCTCGTAACACGTTGAGAAAACAGCTTTTTATCCTGAAATAGATACACAAATTGCAAAATGCCAAGCCATGATTTCTTAAAACAATTGAGCAACTTTATCCACCAAAAAGCACAAACGTATGGACTGAGACGGTGTCTCAAAAGCTGACGTTCTTCCTTTAATGCAAAGATTAGTTGGACAAATGAAAATAATTAAACTAATTTGAGGGTTTAGATAAAGGTGTAAATGGATGAAAGTGAGTTAACATTCAGTTTTATCCAATCACTGCAACAAAAGTAATTAGATGGATATCAAAGCATTATACCACGACTCTGTGCTGTAACCAAATCCAAGAGTCACCTCTGAGCACGACAGGTCGTGTCTTAATGGGATTATTCACCAGTTCTCTGTAACCCTTTCTTCTTGTGTCTTTTAATTTTCACCCAGCCATCATATTTACCAACTTCTTCCATTGTAGGTTACCAATTTTATCCCTTAAAGCAAGGGTTCTCAAACTTTTTGGGTTCAGGGACCCCCCTCATAACCATCCATCCATTATATTTACCTGTTTCTTCCTTTTTGGGTCATGGGGGTAACTGGTGTTTATATCTAGCAATCACTGTGCAAGAGGCGGGGGACAACTGGACAGGTCTCCAGTCCATCACAGGGACACATAGAGACAAACGAGACAAACAACCGTTCACTCTCTCACTCACACCTAGAGACAATTTAGAGTTACCAGTCAGCCTAACATGCATGTTCTTGGTCTGTGGGAGGAAACCGGAGTACCCGGAGAAAACCCACGCATGCACGGAGAGAACATGCAAACTCCACACAGAAAGGCCCCTGGACCGGGATTTGAACCAGGACGACCTGCTCGCTGAGACAGCAACTCTATCAACTGCTCCACCGTGCAGCCCTCATCACCCTCATGTTTATGAAATAATTTTCTTAAATTTGTCTCTTTAATGCAATGGAAATATTTGTGTAACATAAATAATTAAGACCTGTTCTTTAAAAGTGTTAATACAAATTTTATACTTTGTTTTTCATTCAAGACACAATTAACAACATTTTTAATTTCAACTTCCAAAACTTGGTTTTTATTTTATTATTATTATTATTACATAAAATTGAACAGAATCATAACAGCAGTAGTGAGTGACAATAAGTAACAGCGCTTAATTTGAAAAACAATCAGTACTGGAACGCAAATAGAGGTCTGGCTTGGGGAGAGTCCTCCCTCAGAAAGTTTTGAATAAAGTAGATGTGATTTCCTGCATTTTGGTATATTTTAACAAGTTGTTAAACATCTATGTGCTTGTAAACAAATACATATATATATATATATATATATATATTTTTTTTTGCGGACCCCGATTGTTTTACAACTACATTTCTCAGAAGAATCATTTTGTAGGAGATTTAATTCATCACTCGCGTATTAAATCAAGCTAATTGAAATTGATGGTGGCAGCACGGTGACACAGTTGCTAGAGCTGCTGACTCTCAGCGAGCAGGTTGTCCTGGTTCAAATCCGGGCTGGAGGTATTTCTGTGTTGAGTTTGCATGTTCTCTCTGTGCATGCGTGGGTTTTCCCCGGGTACTCCCATTTCCTCCCACAGACCAAAAACATGCCTGTTAGGCTGATTGGTAACTCTAAATTGTCCCTAGGTGTGAGTGAGAGAGGAATGGTCGTTTGTCTTGTTTGTCTCTATGTGTCCATGTGATGGACTGGAGACCTGTCCAGGTGTCCCCTGCCTCTCGCACAATGATGGCTGGACATTGGCACCAGTGACCCCCCACGACTCGAAAAGGAAGAAGCGGGTGTTTGAGAATTTATGTTATGGATCTTTTTATTTTATTATGGCTGAGAACATCTTTCTGTAATGTGTGCACAAAACTTTCCCTTTTCTTGGCCTGAAGGCCGACTCGCAGTGTCTCACTGATGTTGACACCATGAGAACATGCCCAAAACATTCTCTTATCTCCAGTTGGAGGTCGACTAGCCGACAGCCATGGATCTGACTGCAGCTGGCTATGAGGTAATGCCTGCTGGACTCTGCTGCTGCATAAATGTCTGTAACTAACTCTGTTCAGTGCTCATGATCCATACATTGTATATTTCTACTGGAATATTTCAAATAAGGTAAATGACTAGTAAAAAAAAAATTGGGTACAGTACTTTTTTTTTTTTAATGTTTTTGCTTTTGAAGTAAAACCCAGAAATTTGAGAACTGTTGTCTGTTTTTAACTGGATCAAAGTTCAGTCATCTATAATTTTATATATAATTCACAATATTTTCCAGTTTTGTTTTGAACCATAAAATAGTTTTGACTTTTAAAGTCACAAGTTTCAGGAATGTAAAGAGTTAATGTTTCTAATCAGTCACTCGAAAACAAGTCTGACACGTAGCACGAAGATGCGCTCAACTATGACCTCTGACCTTTAGGTTCTCTACCAGACTCACCATGAACGGTTTTCTTTAAAGTTACTTTTGACTTGAATAATGTCTGATGATGATTGTTTTCAATCATTACAATGAAATTATGTGAAATATGTGTTTAAATACATCTTTGTTGAGCACACATCAGGATTTAGCAGTTTGTCTGTTCTATCCTGATGTGTTTGTCTGATGTCGGTCTTTGTTCATTTCTGAGCAAATAAATGTTTGCTCAGTTGTACTTTTTGTTTTAGAAGTGAAGTTCAAGTTTCAAGTAACTACTGAAGATGAAACTGTTTTTTCTCACTGTGAGACTCACGTTTTCAGCTTGAAGTGTAACCCAGCTGAAGGTTACTGACTGCCCATCTGCTGAGACACCGACCCTTGAAGCAGTCACAGTGACTTTCAGCTACCTTGGGCATTGCCTGTCCTGGCTAGTCCTCTCCTCGTTGTGTATCCTGGTCTGATCAGCCAGCAGAACCCCGGAGAGGCGAGTGAACTCGAGCCCTCAACACTGACCCATTAAGGAGCTGAGACCTGCTGACATGAATGCAACTTTGGGTCTGGTTATGCCATTTTAGCTGATGCAACTTGATAAATCATTTCCTGGCTTGCAGTGAAAACAAATGACTTGATCTGGTCACATTAAATAACTTCTCTCAGACAAATCTCGAAGTAAACTATCAAATAGTTAAACTTTGACCAAATTTATGCGCGTATAAAAGCCAAAATAATTCCTGCTCACATAATTAATTTGGCCTTAGTCAGGGTTCCTAACCCTGGTCCTTGAGGAACACCATCCGGCATGTTTTAGTCGTTTCCTGCTAAGACACACCTGATTTTAATAAATGGGTGATTAACAGGCTTCTGCAGAACAAAAGGAAGTAATTAAATCATCGAATCAGGTGTGTTAGAGCAGGAAAACAACTAACACATGCAGGATGGTGTTCCTCAAGGACCAGTGTTGGGTACCACTGCAGTTAGATAAAAGAGAATTAATCCTTGATGATTAATTATGGTTTAGATTATTCATTGTTTTTTCAAACAAGTTTTTCTTCAAATTATTATCCGTTATCATTTGTGTTGTTCAATTTGTTTATTATTATTATTGATGATTCTTAGTTTAATTTTTATTTTTTGTAATAAAACTTAATAGACAAATTTGGTCTCATTTGGACGATCATGAATTTGTTCTGCTATAGAATTCCCTGCAGTTAACAAATTCTACTTTGTTCTGATTATTAAAGGGTGAATACATTTATACAGTTGTTGATGGTCAGTAAACTGACCGCCTGGTGCCCTGCTTTAACAAGTGCAAGACAAAGAATAAAAATGTAGTAAAGTGAGGAGCAAGTGTCCCCCTTCTTCCTCCAATCACAATATACACAACTGATGCAATGTTTGAGTGTGCTTTCTATTGTCTTCCTGTTTGTTTTTCCAGGAATTAAGTCATGAAAAGTGGAAGAAAAACTCTGTGGTCTTCTGAGTCCTAACAGAAAAATGATTGAATCTTTTTGGTAATTTGGCCTTGATAAATTCAAAACTAAGCAGGTTCATGTAATAATCTGCAAAATAAAACAAGAAACTTGTATTTGAAATAAACACTAAACAACAATTGACTGAAAAGATAAATTATGTTCTTGTAAGTTTATTTTAAAGTTTGGTAGAGAATATACAAGTTTCAGACTCACAGCAGATAAGCCCAGTCACGTTTGATGTTCAGATTTGAGGTTTGCGTTTCTGTTGCAGCAACTTTAATGATCATCACTACAAAACAGAGCTCATACAAAATGTTGTATTGACCTTTATATTAAAGGCAGAAAAAAAACGGTGCCCTGTTCACAGCGATCTCTTTGAAACACCCACGAGTCCTTTTCTTTATAACTATACATTCAACGCTAAACAACATTTAAACGAAAATAAAAGCAGAATAAAATGATAAAAATTTCCAGTGAGGCTGTTTTCTTTGGTCCTCAAGTTTGTTTTCATGCAGCTTTCTTACTGATTTAAGATTTAACAGATGTCATCTGTGTGATTAAGAAATTGACACGTCAAGTTCATGGTGTAAAAGTGCAATCTA